TATTTGATGTGAATAATGTGCCTTGGTTATCTTTTCCACTCTTGAACCAGGTATATATCCTATAGGATCAGTAGTACCATCAATTTCCGCAATGACGACAATCGCATTTTCATCCCGTTTATTTACAGGCTCAAAATGTAGTGATAGTGCTGGAGGTTCTAGTTCGCTCAGTTGACAGAACTTAAAATGTCGTAATGCACTTTGGAAATGATTATGAAAGCTAGTTCCTTTCAGCTTGAATTTTTCTGTATATTGTTGTTCTTCATGTTCTGCAACGTGATCTAAGTGTTCCATGTTCACTTGTCCATCATCAGTTACTGCACTATCATTGTGATCATTGACAGCATGTTCAATTATTTCACTATCATCAGAATGGCCACCATCATCAGAATGGCCACCATCATCAGAATGGCCACCATTATCAGAATGGCCACCATCATCAGAATGGCCACCATCATCACATAAATACTGAGATTCATTTGAGCTATTCTGCACAATGAGACCACGTGTTGGGTATTTGTTGCAATTGCAATTAGTTTGGGTTATGTCAAGCCATGGCAATGTCGGGTAAGAGTCGTCATCTTCCACTGGTAGGACAGCTTTAACTGTTGAAACAGGTTGTAAGTCATCCTTCACAATGAAATCCCAAACCAGTACTGCTTGACGAGAACCAACCTATCAATCAATAAAGGAATCAATCTATACCTGCATCACAATTCCCATCCCTCAAGCCACCCCAAAGCATTTGCAGTTTGTTTTCTAATGTAAATAGCCCCAGAATGACACGTAGATTTTGAGTAAATTTTACAAGGGATTATCTCCCCCCTGCACGGCCAAGCATAAATAAGCTTACAAATACACAAGGGTGTACTTGGGTGGGGGGTCAGAATGGACAGGACTGGACTGATACATGACCCTAGTATTGGTCCACACACATCGCACATTAAGATAACACACGTACATCTTTGAGCTGTTTATGCACAAATATATAATTACCATGGGCCATGGAGACCAAATGCATATTATATTAAACCCCAGTGAAAATATTGCTACTATTATTTATTACTAAATATCAATTGAAATTGGATTCTCAAGAGACAATAAAAAAGGCTAATATCCATACTACAATACCAAAACACCAGGAATATAGTTGATAAAAAGTAAACATCTTACCGTGATATGACAACAAGTAACAATTTCGATTGCACATGGGGAAATTTGCTGCGACAGGTTACGAATTATATCCCCATTTGGAAAAAGTACAATTCTCCTCTCGTGTAACTTGTCAGGAAAGCTAACATGTCCACCAACGAGTTCCAGCTCCATAAACGGCAGCGAAGTAATAGTAAAGTCGAGTAGAAATTGAAAATCAACACAATAAAGATACAAGATATCTGTCGGTTCAAGAAAGCCTATTCCCTGTTTGTTCACCGTTATGGCGTTCATTTTGAAATCTACATGAGACGCGCAAAGCATGCTGGACCGGTTTATATAGATGATACAATTTGTTAGCAATGCATGCCAGGATAACCTTAATATCCTCCTTTGTTTAAGCCTTTTAACTATTCATTTTACTCTAAAAAATTAGCCTTTCGCATGCTTAATTAATGCCTTTACCTAATTTGCATATTGCTAACATATGCAAATTAGGCAAAGCCATTATGAATTAAGCGTGCAAATAGCTGATTTTTAGGAAAAATGTAACTTTGCGTGAATAGTTAAAGGGCTTAAACTAAACCAAATTGTCTGAAATTTTGTACAGTAATTAAAAACCCGACAAATTTTCCATCTATTAACTCAAAATATGATTACAACTTTTAAACTTTGTGCGCGAGCCATTTTTAGTTTGTTGGAAAAGACACCCCCCTCGTTCACAAAATTTGAATTCAAGAAATTTTTTTCATTTTTCTACATTATAAGTACCCAAAGAAGCTATTTGTATAAAAAACCGGATTCAAATAGGTGATTTGCAAAATTGAGACCAATTTCAAATCTTGAAATCTGCTGTGTTGGTGTAATGCACTCAGGTGAATAAGATGTTTGTGTGATGTTGCTCTGAGTGTGTATCCACACCGGGAAGGCTTGCAAAGTATGCCTGGCCACGGCGGGATTCGAACCTACGGCCTTTGGAATATTAGCCCAATGCTCTTCCAACTGAGCTACGCGGTCAGGACGGTTCGAGGTATGCGATATTTCGAAATATCTTATTCACCTGAGTACATTACACCAACACAGCAGATTTCGTGATTATTAGATTACACTGATATCGAAGGAACTAGACTCAGTTCCGAAATATCGCATACTCGAACCATCCTGACCGCGTAGCTCAGTTGGAAGAGCATGGGGTTAGTATTCCAAAGGTCGTAGGTTCGAATCCCGCCGTGGCCAGGCATATTTTTCAAGCCTCCCCGGTGTGGATACACACTCAGAGTAACATCACACAAACAACAACAAATTTCAAATCTGTTCAGTTTTTCTTTATACACCCTGTATATCGAGGTACTGATATATAGCACGAAGAAAGATTATTGCATATACTAAATTATTCCCTTATAGGATGCGCCATTTTTATATATGTATAAACAATAAGTTGATTTTACAACTTGTATTTGAATTTGATTAATTTGTATAACTAGAACGAATATTAATATCTCGGTCCTCATCACAGAATGCTAAAATTAATAATGTTCATTATTTTTAAATTTTGTTTTCCATACTTTTAATACTCAATGACAATTGGCGGAAGTTGAAATTTGAAAATTGCACATCTACTTTTCAAATGCAAGCTGTAAATTCAACTTATTGTATTTATACCCCGTTGCGTGTGACTTTATATATGTTTAAATGTTGATATACCATTCTAGCCGGCCTACAATGAATCTCGTGCAGGGCAAGCAAAAAGTCGGATAAAATCATAGAACACTACTCGTACTATATTTCCAAGTGCACAAAATTCCCTACTGAATTGAGGGTGAGCTAATAAATTTTAAACATTGTGAAATAGACAAATAGACACACATGTATGCGTTGAAATATTATCGTGCGACGGTACTAATTCCCCCCCCCCCCGGGTATTTAGTATTTACACCCGGGGAAACGAAAGCATTAGCGAAGTCTAAAGTTCATCAATGACCGCGGGCGCTCACCAACGATGTTGGAGTGTTGGGTGCATAGATATAGGAGACCTAGATTGCTGACTCTAATGTTTTCTATAACGCACGCGCGTGACACTCATGAGCATTCAAAATGGCGGCGCAACCGGACAAAAATCATAGAGTGAGATAGGGAAAAACCATGTTTTTCGCATTTTGGTGTCAACGTTTTGGATGAATATTTGTACAATTTAAGTTTAGTAAAGACGAAATAATCGATCGCTAAATGTTTTCTGAAAATCATCGCATAGTCGGTTGAGCAGTTTGAGACATTTTGTTACAGAAAATAAAGGTTTTGGTTCTTTGGGTGCTTTTTTTCTCGAGGATTTCGGTTGGGATATATAACAGGGAATAATATTGTGAAGTATTTTGAAGTTAAAACCTATTTTACTTGCATGATTTATTTGGTCTGCTGGTGCGAAAATTCTGATGCTCTGTTTAGTGTGACTTTGACAACCTCTTTGCTGCTGCAGATGTCAAGGGATCTCAAGTCTATATGGCCTGGACAGTGAAAAGTGATGAATCAGAGAGAACTAGTGACAGCGAAAGTTTTCAATGGAAACTAGTTTGAAGAAACTGACTAATTTGTCTGCTAAAACCTTCACAGTATCTAGTTCTCTCCAAGAAACCTGATTGATTCATCATTGATAATCAAAAATAAATGGGACGGCATCTTCGTTTAGATATTTCTTGGATAAGTTGGATTGGCCTTTTATTGATTGTTCTCCACAATCAGCATTCTCCCCTTCAGGCACTCTCCCCTTCAGGCACTCTCCCCTTGAGACAGCTGACTTAAGCGTCAGCACTTTCCCCTTGACGAGTAAAATTGTCTGGCGTTAGACAGAGTAAAATAATAAAATAGGGCACAAAACGACTCAATGGGTTAACTAGACACATGGGCAGAGAGGCCAGTTAACCCATTAAGTGCCACTGCTCTCCCCTTGATGAGTAAAATTGTCTGGCGTTAGACAGAGTAAAATAATAAAGTAGGACGCATTGCAACTCGATGGGTTAATATAATCATTGGGTGTGAAGTGTTTCTCACACAAGACAGGGTTCGTACGGGTTCTGGAAAACCTGGAAAGTCATGGCATTTCAATATTCCAAAATCCAGGCCTGGAAATCCTGGAAAATCAATTCTAGTCATGGAAAGTCATGGAAAATTGAAATTTTACATGAATTAACAAAGTATTTTACTTATTTCAATTTACCAGTCATAACAATAATATGAATTGCTGTTTTCAATTTACCAGTCATAACAATAATATGAATTGCTGTTATATAACAGATTTTTGCAAGAGCGAAGTGAATTTTGTTCTTTTACTATATTTGTTATCGTTAAAGTATTAACGAATTTCAGAAATTCCAGACTTCCAGGTCATGGATTTTGAAAAAAATAGTCATGGAAAGTCATGGAATTTTAAATCGGAGAAGGTGTACGAACCCTTACAAGACTGGGTATTTGATTGGCATCCAGTCTGCCCATTTCATTTTTTAGCAGGCTGGGATTGGTTATAGGAAATCCAATAGTGCAAAGGGAAAGATGTATTTTTGGTTCACTGATGTGAACAAAAGTAAAACATTTTTTACCTTGAACCGGACAAGGACCTCTATGACAGTTGTTGTCAACATGCATATATATAGAGAGAGAGACTCTTCACACAGATTGACACAGACATCAAAACAAGTTGTTTGGTCTAATATTCTTTTATTAAAACTGTAAATAGTTTTATATTGTAGCTAGCAAACTCAAAACTACATTTGTTGTGACGTTGTGATTACAGTATTTACAAACAAATTGTTTTTATTCTATTAATATTAAACTATTCTGTTTATATGATGTAAGTTATAGACTAATAGTGTACAAAGTAATATATGATGTGTGTGTTTCATAGACGTACTTATGGAAGGAAAAGCGAATACCATCTTTTAAATCACCTTGCACTAATACGATGAACACGATTCAGGCCGACATTCAAGCATTCTTTTTGATAAAACCCCCCAGATATTTTAATAGAATAGAAAGCCCTAGAATTTTCAGATGAAAATACTGTATTTTGGTCGAAATAACAATGAAAGAACAAAATAAACAGTAGTAGCTTTTGGAATAGTTATATATATATCACATTACTTGAGAAAAAACTCGTAAACGACTGAAGGAATATAAAGCAGGAAGAAACTAAAGACGAAAAGCGCGCGAAACTGCAGGCCTGCCCAATCTTGCCCGCTTGAATTGTAATTTGTAAATTGTATTGATTGTAACAAATATTCATCCAAAACCTTCACACCAGTTAGTTCTTGCCGAAATAAAGTGATAGAACGGGATCGGAAGCTGTAGGACGACGCAAAATGCAAAAAACATGGTTTTTCCCTATGTTGTTCTATGATTTTTGCCCTGTTGAGCCGCCATCTTGGATTTTCAAAATATGTCACGCCGGTTGAGCCGAGTCAGCAATCTAGGTCTCCTATATCTATGCTCTTATCTCTCTTCAGTCAAACAAGTGTCGCCAAAAACATGGCGGATTTCGTTGGATTTCGGCCTTTGCTGACGCCAGAATGACGCCACTGGTCCCAAATCCTCGTGGTAATTACCACTGAGCAAGGCTCATTTCGAGCCCGCTACCACTTTCACATCCCCCTGATTTTCGCAAAAATATTTTAGCTTTTTGTTTTGGAGTTTGACTCGGTTTTTGCCTTCTCTTCGGCATTTTAACATTTGTTTCGAGTTGCACAAGTGGCAAGAATCATGCTGGCTAGTGAAGACAGGGAACAACGAATATTTAAACCTCAAGAAATTTCGTAAAGACGTTATTTGTAAAGGTAAAAATATACTGTTCATGTACAATATTTATTTGTGATAAAGTAGGTCAAAACAAAGCGAAATAAACAGCCTATTTGTACTGTGTAGTGGACAATTTTAGCAACTGATGTTATACAATTAAGTTGCCAAAACTATATTAATACGAGAAACAGTCTTTCTCGAAAGAAAATGGTTGAAATTTCAGATTTTAGTTTCATTTATTTCAAATTTTACGTTATAAAATGCCATTTTTAACCACCATCTGCTTCATGATACTACTTAGTAAATTTAAAGTGTTTTCTATTATATTAGTATACCTATAGAGGAAGACCTTTTTAAGCCAGAACTATCATGACTTTGAATGATTTAATCCATGTACTTAACTGGCCACTGATGGCAATGAAATTATAATGTGTAGAATTATCAAGTCTATCAAGATCCAATAATTGGCTGATCCAAAAATTG